GAAATACAATTTCATCTTTAACAATGTAAAATCAGTTTGAAAACAAAATTAGCTCTCTAAAAGTTGTCACATTAAATTTAGAATATAATTTCTTGAAACATTTATATTTTAGACATTTTCTCCCTCCTTTCTGCATGCCTTCGTGGTGTAACAATTAGCATACTCAGCACATATTCGAGAGGTCCAGGTGAGGGCATTGCTCATTTTTCAAATCTCTTGCTTCAAAAAAAACCTAACAACTCTACAGGGTATCTAACTATCCAATATAGTTATTTGTAACTAACTGGTCACCCTTAAAAGTTATCTCTGCATATTAAACTGAGTTATTGCCTTTCATTAATCTTTACCATAGTTGCAAGATCTAGCACAAAAATGCAAAAATTAATGTAAAACTCAATTCTTTGCATCTAGTGAGACTTTAAATAATACAAAACAGCTTATCACCTCAAGTGTTTTAGTGGCTTATTGGAACCTTAAAATATATTAACTGGGTTACAACTCCAGAAATTCTATACAAAGTTATGACACTAACTACGTCAGACAGGCAGAGCATAACTAACGTTCTTCGAAACTTGTCAACCATGCCTATATTAAGCTTTCAGGTTTGTTTCAATTAGCAGGCCTTTTCTGTAGAAAAGCAGCAGCAGTGGCACCAGCCAGTCTTCTGTAATGAATCATGCTGATTATGATTTTACTCATTTTAACCTATGCCAGTTACATAAAATTACCTGTATTTACTAAAACTAATATTACTAAATTATAACTGAGCAAGTATGTGACAAAATGAGACAAAAAAAAAAAAAAATCACATAAGTTAATGTTAGTAAACACAAAATATCCTTGATATTCTTTCATATATGTCCAACTATATAAGGTAAAATATGTTATGCTACCTGATAAATTTTATATAGTTGATTTATTCCAAATTTTTTTTTTATAATTATGTTTGTTAAATTAGTTTAATAAAATGATTCTACTTGTGAATCTTTTTATTTTTAGGATGGTATCAAAAGTGAAGTCAAGCATAGCTAAAATCTTTAATTGAATTTATTCAGTTCCCGTTTCATGGGTCCTTATTTTTTCATTAATGGTTCTTAAAAGTACTTAATTTCCATGTGCAGAAATGTGTATGAACCCTGTAATGGGTATTTATTTATATTATAATAATTACTTTATGTTAAAATTAAATACGTACAGTACGAGGTTCAAGATCCAAAATCATGAAAATCTTGGTGATTCAGGATTTCAAAAATTTCCAGATTTTAGATAATGAATTAAAATCTAGTAAGATTACATGTAGAAATTACAAAATAAAAAATGAGAAGGGGTTGTTTGTGAAATAATGAAGCATTTATCATCTTAAAAAAAACCAGAATTTACAAAGAAAAAAAACAAGAAAAAATGCTCAGTGTTATCATTTTTCTTATTTCATTAATATTTGTTTCAGATAATATAATTATTTAAACAATTTCATTTCATGTGTTAATGCTTTTTCTTTCATTTAATACTTATCTTTTTGGGTCAGACTTGTCCGCTCATAACCTTGCAATGCTTCACATAGCATATATTAAAAAATTTCAAAAATTCTTGGTCTTGTAGTTGCATCAATGTTGAAAATGCTAGTGTGAAAAAATTTCCGATATACATTGGCTGATTGATGTATAAAGAGTTTTGTGAGAACAATAAAACAGAGATGTTTACTTTTACTAAAACTTTAATTCTAATAAGTGCTAAAAACCCAACAAAAAGAAACCAGTATTTGCAACATTCTAATCCAAATGTTGGTCCTTGGAATTCACTTATTGTGTATAGGGCTATATAAAACTGAAAAATGTTGCTCTTCTCAAATCATTCAGTGGCCGAAAATGAAAATGTGGTCTGGCAGGTGTTTAAAGCCGCATCCTATAGGATGATTCAATATTATCATGGATAATGATGTTTTGCAATATGGGACGGGGGGAGACTTAAGTTAAATGAAATGACATTTAAGTTGCATGCTTGTTTTGCTTGAGTATCATATTATCTGTTCCTACATTGTGTGGGAAAATGGGCAAATTTTTCAAACTTTTTCTTTTTCGTATGGGAGATGTGAATAAATATCATTTCAATTATTAAAGATCCAAATTTCTAATTTCGTACTAATAATTTAGTGTTTAATTGAATTTTAACATGTATAGGAAATTCTACAATTAATAAAAACTTTAGGTAATATAGCTATTCATCTATATCACATTTTAATTCTAAATTCCATTTTTATATTTTCTGTATCATACATACAGTATAAAGTATGGTATCCGGAATGATCTGAAATCCAGACCTCAAAGCTACCACCAACTTAGTCCAGTGGGGCAATTTGGACTGAAGGACTATGCTTTGGCAATTTGTGTCGAAAACTTTAAAAGGCTGTATCACTTTTCAAACTGTTGCCACCATATATTATCACCGTGGCTTATATTTAAAGAAATTAAATAATGAATAATCTGCATAAATGTATGTATGTTTCTCGCATTGTGATAAAACAATGGTACCTAGACCCATCAAAATTTGAATAACGAAATCTTCCATAGAATATAGGAATGTGGAAGCCCTAATTTGAATTTGAAAATTGTTTTATTATCGATTTAAGATTTGTAACACTTTTATTAAAAACTAACGATTTCAAGTGAGCATGGCAACATTTACGAAAAAATTTTTATCACAGCTGTGACTCTGTATAAAAATTCTAAAGATATGCTATTTTAAAATTAATTGCTGTTGAACTGAATTTTATAGTTTTAGTCTTTAGAACATGATTTTTAATAAATATAATTAACAGTTGAAAATGCCCCTTTAAAAAAAATTTAAAATCTGAAGCCTTTTAAATTCCTCCCCCCCCACTTTCTTTTTTTTCTTTTTTTTCCTTTCCTTTTTATGCTTTACACATGTGTATTTGATTTCCCTCCTCCATGCATAATAAAACATATGGAGAGTCCCTATTCTTAATTTCACTTCGTCACTAAATAAAATATCTCATTATTGAAGAAACAATCATTTTAGCATGAATTTGTAATAATTTGGCTTCATTGCTGCGTATCTGCTTGGCATACATCTTAAACTGAAACATTCTACATACATACATCATTGATCTCACACCTACTAATATTTTATATCCCTGACGAATCATTATTTATTATATTTTGGGTTAATCTTTGGATTATGGTAACTTGGCGATTTTTTGGCAAAAATTGGCGCCCAACCCTGCTACAGCAACCTGCTAGTTTTTGTTTGGAGCATTTTTTTCATGAATAAAGCAATTCCCCCTCAACATTTTCTTCCAAATTGCTAGCCTATCTTATGCTAGAACTTTTTATGGAAAAAAAGTGCTTATCGACGAAGATTAGGTGCGAAATTGGAGAAAGTGCAGAATCGCAAATGCTTGCGGTTTTAAGAATTGCACATACACGGTATCCTATACACGTTGCCTTTTCACTTAAAAAACGTCCCAGAATGCACAAAAGTGGCATTGCGCACATCTTGACTTTATCCATGTACACTGCTAAAGTACTAGCAGTAACCTTATACTTACCAAATCGCCCAACTACCTGTTACCATATTCCAAAGATTAGCCATATTTTGTTTTCATCACCACATGTTTATCAACACATGACAACTTGAGTAATGTCTTATGTAGCGATGCCTAAACAATTTTTTTTATGTTAGTAATTGAATAGTAAAGAGTATGGTAACCTTTTATGTTGACATTAAGCTTGGCAATGATTATAGATTCAAGTTAAATGCTCTAAGAAATGTTGGCGAGGAAAAATTTAACAAAAATTTCTTTCCGTATGCTAAAAATAGATTTTGTTAATGATACTTACTCATAGACCAAAATATTACATTTAATGCTATTTGAATTAAGAATAATTTGTTATTCACATAAACCCAGACCTGCGCCAGGACTCGTATAGCCCCACTGGGAGGCAGAATTTAGGGAAGGCAAAGGGAGGCGCTTGGTAGCAGAATTTAGGACTCGTTGAGAATGCATCAGGTGGTAAGGTATCTACTGCTGGCTCTTACTAAGCCTAAAGTATATGTGGAAATTTATTTATTCAGGACTCAGATAAGCCTTAAACATGTGTAAGAAGTAGACATAGGTATAATAAAATTCAGATTTAACTGTCTCAGTGCACGATAGAAGGAAGATAAAATTTAGCAGAACAACTTGTCACCAGTCGCGAATTTCATGATACATCGCCAAATATGTATAGTGAATGATAGCTAAATTACATGATGAGAGCCATGAATTTTAGAGGTTTTTGGATATTGCAAACCAAAGGTGAAGTTTTCCAATTAACGGACTTTGTAAAAAAATGTTGAGAAGCAGTAATAAATGAAGATAATTATAAAAGAAGTTTTTCATTGTGATGACAATGCTCCTCAATCATTAATCAATTAATGGATGGCAAAATCTGTAGTAAGAAAGTGACACAGAGGTTACTGAAAACGAAAAAAATTTCGATTGACAAGTTAGTCAGAATTCTTGACACAGCAATTGCAGGACTTCAACAGTGTAACTGATCAAAAAATTGTATCTGTCAACAGAATTAAAGAGAAAGTATTAGCACCAAAAATGGAACAACTTATATTGAAAGAAATGTGTACTAAAATAAACAAATAAATATTAAGCATTTTTTTTTTTTTTTTTCTTAATTTTTACAACCTTGAGATCATAAATGCTTCAATTTTTCATAAATGACATTTTTAATTTCTACATGTCATATTACTAGATTTAAACTGATGATCTAATATCTGAAAAAATCCGGAATTGCGGAAGTCCCGACGAGTCTGGATCTCGGACTTTGTACTGTATTACCTAAAATTTCTTAGTTTTTAAATAGAAATTGACACATTTTATTGTGCATTGGTTTCATCATGTACATTTTTAGAAAGCTTTAAGCATCAGTAGATTATGTCAGTAATATATATATATATATATTTGTTTTGTTTTGTTTCCTAGCTATGAGAAGACAAGATGTTCTACCTCATAGAAATTCTGTTCACCAGCAAACGGGTAGTAAAGTGCGGAGGCAGTTCAAATCCCTAGGCTCACTGGCCTCCAGTCGTTTAACATTTTGTAAACAATCCTGACGTAGGTTCAAAAGTTGTTTGGAATTTGCTGAATGTGGACATTTTGCCTCATGTACAAAAAAATTGGTATGTTTCTGTGATAACATTATAGTGAGTGTTTTTTTTTAAATCTATTTAGGACTTATATCAAAGGAAAGCAAATTAAACATATTTTATTTTCTCATTAAATTGTAATAAATGTATTTCATTGTTCATTTAATGGGTAGTGATAGTTTGCAAGCTGTTAGAATTTTTAATTTCAGTAACTGTTTCACATCTGATATGATTGGTTTTATTATCAGAATGCAGGATTTTATGTATATAACCTGAAAAACATTGTAAAAAAAGCCAAATTTTCGTGATATGAAAGTAAATTATATGTGATGCTTTGGTACCTGAAATTTTGAATGTTTCTTTTTGGAATTGTGAAATTGTGTATCCAAATTTTATATATTTGATAAATGTGTTAATAAATTTTCCTAAACTTTTCTGTGAAATAAAAATTAACACAAGAAGCGTACATCATAGGTATAAATTTTGACTATACTGAGAATTTCATAGTAAGCATTTTTTAGTAATTATTTTGTTTTATAATCAATAATTCAAGAAAAGCATTTTTATTTTATGAATATTTGTATTTAATTTTTAATCACTGCCATATTTTTCTTTCAATTCTATGACTCATATGCTCATGAATTCTTTGAATTTTTTTAAGTATAGATTATAATTTTTACCGCATTTTAATACAGTAATGTTTGCTAAAATTTGCATAACTGATTTTGCTCAATTCTCACATCATTTAATGACCTAATTCCTTCAAACCCTTATGCTTAATGCTAACAAATTGGGGGGGGGAATAGAAAGTAGTGTGAAGTAAAGTTGTAGCTGGCTTTTTAGGAGGGGGACAATATTCTTAATAAATATATGCAAAGTAATTCAAATTGGCTTAGTTAGTGTGTTTCAGGAGTTTTAATCATCAAATTTTTGTGGTGTTTTGAATAGCTTGAAATAGTGATTAAAATTTTAGAATAAATTTGATTTTCATGTAGTTATAACATTTACTAGAACAGTGGTTCTTAACCTTTTTGAGCCGCGACCCAAATTTGAAAAAAATGTGTATGTCGCGACCCAAAAAAAGTCAATATTTTTTCATGCTTTATTTGAGAGCATTTTGAAAACCTTTAGAGACTTTTAATTACATTTTTATTTTTTTTATAATAATAAAGTTAACAAAAGTTTTTGATCCCAGAATTATAAAGAATCAGGTTTTTAATTTTTTTTGACCAAACTAAATAATTAAAACTTTTTAAAAATAATTGAAATTTAATCTGATATAACATTTTAACCTTTTAATGATACCTTGTGCTTGAATACATTTTGAAGATCTGCAAACTGGGTTGATGCTTGTCAGGGACCTTACATCTATTTCTGGCTTAACTTGTTCCGGTGTGTTTTTGATACACAGAACGCCGAAAAACAGCTCACACATAATTTTTGTGAATGGGCAAAATACTTTTAGGGATCTTTAACATTATTGGCTTTTCGGTTTTTAGATTAACCAGAAAGCACAAAATGAGTGTTTGTAAAATTGTATCGAAGTGCTTGGTCATTGAATTTATATTAATTGTCTGAATGATTAATATTACAAATCCTATGCAAATCCTTACACAAAATCAAATGCATTCGACCCAATTATAATAAAAACATGGTCTGCAGGAAATACCGATCAAGTTGCTATTAGTTTTCTAATGATTGATAAAATTTCTGTATTCAAATCTGTGATATTACTATTCTTGTCTCAACAATAAAGTAAGACGGAAAGAAGCAAGTTTTCTTACTTCACTATTTCTCCGTAATGTGGTTTATTTTAAAACATGTAATTTTTCATTAATCATAATATATGATTACGCTGCATGAGACGTATTTAGTATTTATTCAACAAAAGTTTGCCAAATAACAACTGAGTAATCACTTCACGCGGAGATTTATATGCTAATGGGTGTTCGTTCTCTCAAAAAAATTCGACTTCTGCCGAATGAGATCTCTTGACCACTTGCCCGGGCACCATCTAACTTCCGCGTAAATAATAAATTTCATATCTGACCAAATTCTAACCAGTTCGCGGAAAATTCTATATTAGAGCTCTTGATTTTAAAAGGACTACCGAACAATTTCATCCAAAACATACTTACTTCGGGCGATAAATTTTTGTAGCAATTTTTTTGAGCAAGATTTGTATATGTAAAAGCAAGAACCGATAAAATTGTGAATGCCTTTGTTTGCCTTGTCGAAAAACCCTTTGAGCTGTGTCATGCAGCTGCACGCGTCAAAACTGAAACCCTGATTCCAATTTAATCCTTATTCTTAAAAAACAATCGACAATGAGAATATTATTCACCTCGAGTTTTTGTTGACATTGATTTGCAAATAAAAATCCTCCTGTATAATGTTAACCCTGGATACTGCAAGTAACCATTAGTTGAGCATCTACTTAACTGTCATTTCTTCATTGAATATAATAAACCAGCAATTTTATAGCAGAAAAAGTTGATTCTTAATATCAAACTACAATCATTAATTCGTAAATATGTATATTTGATAATGGTACCTTTTGTATTCTTTGAATTATCTCCGCCATGATACGTGCCCTGCAATGCAGCAGTTTTATAGTTTTTCAGCAATATTAGGGGTTTTTTGTCTGAATATGCCAACCAATAAAAGAAGCCAGTGTGCTGTTTGGTAAAATTAGAAACTTTATACTGGGCATCAACGCGTCTTTAATCGGCTTCTTTTCTTCGAAAAAGTATGTCTTTTCCTCAAGAATTTTTATGTTTTGCATCAAACTGTTTTTAATTTTTTGGTTTTTTTTCTTACTAGTATTTCACTGCACAAGACCATTGCGGCTGTTGTTTCTCCATCATAAATGCCAAGAAACCCTAATTCTAAAAATGCTCCTGGATTCACATTTTGCCTTTTAGGATGATTACATTTTACAATACGCCTGCAGCTTGACACTCCACTTTAATAAACAGACAAAATTGTTCAAAATCTTGTATTCCTGTCATGATATTACACATTCCCGGTTATTCACACATAATACACAGAAGAGTTTTTGCAAAGAACTTGCAGCGGAGTGCACTTTTTTACGTAAATCATAATATGCAGACAGAAATACAGAATACAATTTTCGTGTTGTTCTTTTTTACCGATTTAATACAAATATCTGCTTACATTTACAACCAAGGAAATTCCCCGGTTTCTTAAAAGTCGACGTAAAGTAGCTAATGAAAGCGCTTTATTTTCCAAAGGTGTATTACCGAGAATGATATGTACCTACACTTATTGTGTTCGGACGTAAAGCATGGGGGTATACCAACACTCATAGAAGAAAGCTATAAGAACAGAAATGGATGTCACTTCTAGAAGGCCATTCGCGAGCGCGGTAAAACCATGCATTTTTTAGAGAATACTTGTATTAAAAAAACTCTCTTAGTGTTGTATTACTTATTTTGTTTAAAAGTTTTTTTTAATTGACTTAGCGCGACCCAAAATTGGGTCACGACCCATAGGTTAAGAACCGCTGTACCAGAAGATATATCGCATATGTACGAGTTTAGTTCCACATTGTCATTATATATTATTACTAATGATAAAGTCTAATTGTTATCATAATCAGAATCAGTTGAAATGTAATGCTTGATTTGTTTGAGTGCTAAACATATTAAGTAATGTATCTGCATTATGTCCATGTTGTTAAACATTAAGGTTTTTTTTGCTAAACGCATTAAAGTTTTCATAAATTCTATTTTTCTTATTGACTACGTGTTTTCTTTTTTTAAGCAATCTTATTCAGTTTTATTTCAAGTCAGTTTTTTTTTTTCAAAATAAAGGGGGAACACCAAGGCTTTTATCTTGTCAATTATGTGTTATTGGACTTGGGAAGGGGGTGCAATTCTCGTTTACCCACCAATTAAAGCTGAAACTGTGTATAAAAAATTTCATCTTATGCACATTGTTTATCAAGTTGTATTAACTAATTAATGAGTTTGTTAGCTGAAACATCATAACATTACATTTTATGACTTTTTTTCAAAATGGGCTTTTGTTAAAAATAAAGTCATCTAATTTAAAATCATATTTACCAAAATTAAACGGTATCTTGTAATAGTAGATATTGAAATAGTAAAAATATCAGTAGCTTTTTTATAAAATATATTTAAGCCAAAAAAAAAAAAAAATTCAAAACAATTATTAAAGTGGCTCTGTTATTTGCTTATAAAGCTGTATATATGAGAGAAAGAGAGAGTTATTCAATTTTATTTATTAAAAAACCTTTAATAAGAAAATTGCTAATGTAATACAAATAACTGAATTTAAATTTCAATCTTACACTTGAACTTAAAATGCCTTATGTGCATATTTTATTCTCACCTACTGAAAAGCAATAATATTTAAACATATTAGAAGATGATTTAACATTAAAAAAAAAAGTATCCTTGAATGAAACTTTTTCATAGTTCATGCCACATTTTTCATTATCACTTCCAAGTTTTCCTTGGATCTGATAACAGTTCATTTTGTTTAAAATTGAATATGTTCTTTAAATTGCCAAAAAAGTCTAAACCTTCTAAAAAATTTTGCTGCAACATACAGAATCATTTACTGTTTTCTCTCTCTGTCTGTTTTATTGAATTATAGCAAACAGTCAAACTGATATAGTGGAGATGGACACACATCCAAATAAATTTTTGTAACTCCTTGAAGAATATGCATTTATGTTCTAAATCCAGAAGGAAGAGAGAGAAAATATACTTAGTTATAACAGAAATAACATACCAAAGAGCAAACATTAAAGATATTATAGCAGCAAGAATCAGCATAAGATTTTGTTGCTGTAATATATGTTAATATAATAATATAATATCTATATAATATATAATATCTATGTTGCTATAATATCTTTAACTAATTTACTTAAATTTAGTATTTGCATGAGCAACTTATTGTATTTCTTATCTAGCATCTTAGTATTATTTAACTACTCTTTGTTTTAAAATGTTTAATGTCATTGAATAGAAGCTTAATAG